GAATCAGGCGGGAGATTGGACTGGCTTATTCTCCGCGTATCAAGAACGGTTTCAGCCCACACGATTTGCTTGCTGACATTGAGAGTGTCAGGTTAGTTTCCGGGAGAACTTATTTAATCTATTTGGCGGCGTGAGATTGCTAGTATTTTGTACTTCGGGCCCAGAAGAAGCAGTGGAAGCAGTCACAACCCCTGTCGATTTGATTGTAATGATACGGTAATAAACTTGTATGCAATAACATCTTTCGACTCTGTAGAATATTGAAAGCTGTGAACAGGAAGGACGGATGTTCCTGAAATCGCAAGTCCTTAAGGCTGAGCAAGGGTTCAGCATGGCTACTTTTGAATGTCTTGTTCATGGGGTCTACGACTATCAGCCTTTTCCGCTTGGGCATTTTCTACGAGCATTTGAGGTCGTTTACCTTTGCGCAAGATGACTATGTGATCTCGGAGTTTTTCTTCAAGATGATCATATTTGATGCTTAAACTAGAAAAAAGGCGCCGCAGAGGAATCAAGGTAAGCTTAACGCCACTAAAGGCACCGGAACTATGGAGCTGGAGATCAGACTGTATAGGATTCATCCGTCATTTGTCACATACTTGCACAATCCGGAAGTGGGAGGAGAAGGAACAGCACGCGAATGCGAAAACTGTGCGCATTTGCCCGAGATGACATGACAACGTGGAGTGTGGGGCTGGATCCGATGAAAAGCAGCGAGGGCAAGCAACACAGGCAATGAATTGAAGAACTCAACAACAGATACACGGGAATGCTTTCCAGACGGAGCACAGTGGATCGTGGTGAAACAACTTTGGAAGATTACGAAGACCAGACGTAGTGATGTTCATCGCAGCCGTGATATGACAAAGAACGACATCAAAAGCCAGACCAGAGGTAACAGGGATGTTCGTTTGCACGGACAAGACACAGTAGTCAACGCTAACTTCTAAGCTGGAGCAGTGACACCAAAATCCTACTGCAGTTCCTACAAGCTACCGAATGCAAGGTAGGGATGCCAGATGTTGAGACTCAGTCAAGGGAGAGCTGGTATTTATCAGCATGTTCATGGACAGAGATAGATTACGTAAAATAGCCTGGAGAGCCATGTTGCAGGAGGAAATCAAAGCCGTCCGAAAATCATTTCACTTCAGAGTAATTTCTGTGCATGGTAACAAATTCTGATCTGAAAGTCGATGGGGACCCAGAAGATGTGCTGACATAAAAAATGCTGTCGAATAATGAGATGGTCCGCCAAAAGTCGATTGATAGGGCGCAGCGTTCGAATCACTTATGATCCAAACCATCTACAGGTTACTTCTCGTGAGGTGGTGGATCTTGTCGATCGCCTAAGTAGTGCTGCCTGTCCCGGTTTCTTTTCAGCGCCTCGCGTATGTTTCTTCCTTCTTTGGGTTGTTTCCGCTCATCTTTCCCCAAAAGATATTTTGGTGCATTTTAGATGTCATAACGCGGGCTCTCGCATCACAAATGAATGGTCGCGGCGACGACGGTGTGAGAACTGCTGTACTTCAACCCTCAGGTTCAGACGAACTGATATTTTTAGGAATCCCACCAACGATCAAGCAATACCAGATTGGTGGAATATTTGAGCGTCCGGTGTTCCCAAACTGGCGGCTCCTCAAATAACAAGTCGACTCGATGATTTCTTCTACTTATTTAAAAGTCAATCAATTCTTGTTTTGAGTTCAAATGTGCAGGCCGTATTGGCACGTGAATCGCCTCAGAGAGCTAATCCTGTGTCACTCTATGACAGCCTGAGCTTCCCGCATTCACAACAAGACTAGCAGTTCAGCAGTTCACGTGATCGTGCCATTCACTACACCCAATGCCTAAAAAGGTGATTTTCATACACAGCCCAATTGGCCTTTGGAGACCTCCCAGAGCATAATGTTGAAGTTTTGAGACCATGAAATTGTCCGAAACTTCAATTAAGCCAAATAAAGTGCTGAATTATAAGACATTAGTGCGTTTTTGCAATATCATATATGTGGCCAGTAAAATTTATAAGAAAATGTGGGGTGCATTGTGATACATCCCATTCCCAGTTCTTGGAATACATTAATTGGTCTCCGACACGCAGCTCAACGAGACCGTGAGTTTGGTAAAGTCCACCAGGCCCGAGACCCCTGGTACAGCTGACATATTCCAACTTCCCGCAGGTATGAAGGCCCGCTGTTCTGGGTGCACGAAGTGCACGTGGAGCTCCTGCGGAAATGTATACTTAGTTCACCGTGCGGATGAAGTCAGCGGTACTGACTGGAAGAACATGCAGAAGAATCCAGTGGGCACGACTACACCGGTGATTGACTGGAAGAAGTGACTCAATGCTCCAGTGGTGGTGAAGGCGAGGCAGGAGCTTGAGCCTGAGGTGAGTGGGAGATCGAAGCAATCAACGCCGACTTCGAGACCGGTGCATAGCTCAAGGGTCCCACTGATGTCCTGTGTATGGCAGATGGTTAGAGAGGGCAGTAATTTTGTAGCCAAGTGCGGCAACATACCGCACCAGGCTTGGCGGGGGCGGACGACACGGTGGAGAGGAGGCCGACGAGAGTGATAGCAAGAAAAGACTTGTAGTTGACCATTGGTGGAGTTAGTTGGCTGGAGCGAACTGGAGCTTTGCGGAGCAGGCACTCCCTTTTTATGCATTTCGCCATGCGCGAATCGGGAACTTTGCTTCACGCATCTTCCTCCCTCGCCAAAGACGGACAGCCGTGAAGCACGGCTACACACAGGCACAAATGTCAAAGCAAATAAGAAGCGAAGAACTATCAGGCACAGAGAACCTGCAGCTGTCTCAGTTTAGATACCTCTTCTCAAGTCTACTACGCAGCTGAATGCATTTCGGTCAGCCAGCTGTACGCGTCGGCTCGGGTCCAGACGATTAGGTTACTTTAGAGCTGTGAGTCACGATGTTCGCGATTCCTTGTTGGCAGGAAGATTGTTGTTGGTACACCACTTTTACTCAGAAACTGCGATAGAGCGGCATAGACCTTTGGCTGGTCTGAGTGATTGACATCAGCCACAAATAGTAGAAAGATCGACGGCCATACATTGGCCATACATGAACGCGCCGCAAACCCGGTGACTCCGCTCTGAGTGTTGCCGAACGCATGAAAGCTTCGATCTTCCGGCCGCATATGCTATTAGTATGCTCATGGCCGGGGGTAACCAATAGGACCCGGTCCGCTCGGGCCGGAAGAGTGCAGTCCACACATCGAAATGAAATTTGGCAATGTCAACTCCAACTGTGTGCATCCCGATTTCGCGGTGCAGCGGGTGTCCGGGTTGTCGGAGAACACCAGACTTCAGCGATCTCACAGGCTCGTTCTGCTGCGTGTCGTCGATCATTTAATGTATTCCAAAGAACTGGGGATGGGGTGTGTCAATTTACGCGATGTGTTGAATTTTTTCGATCACTCGTTAGACGTACTCGAACGCGATATTAATGACCCACTCTTTGATACAGAGATCAAATCTGCAGTTTCCGACCTTTAAAGATTACAGCGCAGTATCCATGAAGTGTTCCGGACCAGCGATGTAAATCCCATCTGACTACGCATATTCCTCACTTGGCATCATGATCGCTTCGAGTTGTCTGTACCTCCACACAGATTTTCTAATTGTTGGTTATTTACTCCACGAGCGAGGTCTGTGCGGCCGGGGTTCAGATTGATTCGCTCAGGATGGTCCCACCATTTGGAATAGAAGTTGGTCAAGGGATTGAGCAGCAATGACAGCCCTTCGAACTACATTGCCAGCTAAATAAATTCCTAGAAGAATTGCCCCCACCGATCGCAATAAGCACGATCCTTTGAATTACAAGCGGTGGCCCAACTCCTGACAAAGTGCACCCTCGTTGAGATTACACGGTCCGCTCTCGCCTTTCGAAACATGCCATTCAAAGCACAACGAGACGTTCGAGTGCCAAATCTCGGAATGGAGTGTCGATGTGGGCATGATCATGGGTATCCTAGATATAGGACAACATCCTGAGCGTGGGGCACAAACCCTTTGCTCCGATAAAATCTTCGGAGTCCCTCGTAAACCTCGTCGTTCCAAGAGTATCCGACCAATGTGAACCACGGGAAAGCAGATTTTGTTGGTGTCCACTGTGATGAGGTATGCAGAACAATCTGACCACTGAAGCGAACCTGGGCCGGGGTGGACAGACGAACATATCTATGATAGCATTCAGGGCCGGGACCATTTAAATTGTATGTGTAGGATAAAAATTGCAGGACGAGATCCATTCCACGCGCGCAAACTGTGACATTGAGAAGATTGCATCAAACAACTCGGCAAATCCGCACTGCAATTTCGCAAACAAAGGAAAGGACCTGCCACCCGACTGGTCCTACAGCAGGTTTTGACCATTGCTGCTAGTTCTGGGTCTGAATGGCGTTCGAGGTCCATAAAGGATTAGGGGAAAGAGATTGGGAATGGGCACAGACTACCTACCTGTCTTTCATGCGGCTGTATGGCTATCTCGATGCTTCTCTGTCCGGAGGTTCTGAAATTCCAACATCTGTGTATCTTCTCGCAACCCTGGGTTTTTCATATCTCTTCTGGTGGCGGTTTTTGGGTCAGTGAGTGGGAGCAAAGAATTTAGTGACAGGATGGGATCCTCCTGCATTTCGGATTTGAACCAGAAACACGTGAAACGTTAAGCCTTTGTTTTCAACAACGCCTTTCAACTTGCTGGAACACGACACAACAACCTCCAATCACATGAAATACAGATCGCCAAAGAAAAAACACAAGAAAGCGCCAGGCCAAAAACACGACAAACAAGGCATTCGAACGTCCGGCGGTGGGTTGAGAACTTCATGGCCCTTTCTCACATATGGTAATGACTAGCCCATAATGCTCAGCAGCTATATAGATGTATTGATTTGAGGGTGACACACCCACTGCAACGCTGAGCCAAAAGACATGAATACAGCAACAAAGGAGAAGGAAAAAAAACGCCATTGTTTGGGCCATGCATTAAGGGGGAATCGAACCCCCGGCGGGTCGACACGCAAGGCTAGCCAAAATGGCAACGACCCAGGTTACCACTACCCCATTAATGCTTGCAGGTCAAGTGGGCATTTGGGCAGCCACATGCATATAGGCTCGTAACTTGGCTGGTTTCGAAGGGAGAAATATTCTGTGACCGAGGTTGAGCTGAGATGTACATGTGAGAAGTATTCCCTGGCCAAGTGTTGACTGATACAACAATTATAAACAAGGGAACTGCTGCCCGTCCTCGTTCTATCCTCATCCGTTGGAAACCGATATGACTGAGTCTGTGTGGACAATAACGACAACAGACGAGACGCGGAGGCACAGTGTGTGAGCAACAAGCGCGGTACCAGACGCCGTACATATTGGTATACAGCTGTCCGTGCTAGGGCCTCCGCCCGTTACCGTGACGGCAACGGCCGTCGAAACGACGGCCGTTTTTCTCGATCTCAAACATCTGACGGGACGGGACGGGCAACGGGACGGCCGTGGCGGCCGTAAAAACGGTAACGGGTTGTGTCCGTTTGTTTTTTGCTGTTCCTTCGACACTTCACTCGCGCATCGATCCATTTCGACTTGTATATCATTAATTCAATGTTATCTTCTTATTCCGGCCCCAACTGACCCTTTTAACCACGCAAACGCTGTGGGGCTGAACCTCGGCAATTCGGCAATCAGCTGCGGGCTTTGCCGAATATCTCAAAAAAATGTATTTGTTCTCGGATTCTGGTTCCAAAACTGTGCTAGGGCATTCAAAAGGTAACCTCTTCAAGCTGGATGGATCCCTGTGCAGGATAATCACCTACATGCTTGGTTTTAAACCAAAAATCAGATCACCCGTTTCAACGGCCGTCACGGCCGTCGTTCAACGGGCCGTTGGAGGCAGCAAAAAATCCGCGACGGGACGGTCACGGGCGGAAGCCCTAGTCCGTGCTCCTCTACTGCGAACCCAGCATTAATATCGTAGCATTGGGCACGAAACAATACACTCACGGAAAACAGTGCGCGGTGCATCCGCAATTGCCCCTCGCCTGTCCGCATCCATCCGAGTAGCCCTACTCGGATTCGGATTTGTACGCACCCGCTTTAGATTTAGAACCGTCCCCATCTTTCTTCGCGTTCATCTTTACCTCCCTCTGGCGCACCTTCGTCATCTTCCACATGTACGCGTTCCGCCGGCACCCGTCCCCTGGGAATGGGTAGTCGGCGGGGTAGCCGCTCTTCTTGATCGCCTCCACAAGACGACGCGCCGTCTCCTGTGCGCGGCGTAGACGGGGTGTAAGAGGCAGAGGCGCTGTCTGAGTCGAGAGGCAAGGCGGCGACAGGCGCGATAGGCGATGCGGAGGAGATTAGAGAGGAGGAGAAGGAGGGAGGTGGCAGTTAGGATTCCTGGGGCGAGCGGTTAGTTGAGCGCATGCGGGCAAGAAAGGAGGGTGGGAGGGACGGAGTGGGGAGGTGGAGAGGGACGAAGGGTGGGAGGAGCGGAGAGAGAAGCGAAGAGCGTGTAAGGAAGATGCACTGATAACCCCAGTAATGCCGTATGCCTCCTACCTTGGGAGCGCCGCGAGCGCGCGGCCCGCGCGATTCAGAAAAAGTGCGCAGGGATGCTATAATGAAGGACTGTTGGCGGGACGCAGTGGGGCTCTTGAAGTTGGGGTGACAGGGGCAGCTCGACGCTGAGAGTGTACTCGAATGCCTCAAGGAGAGTGGCGTAGTGCTGGGTTGGACACCGTGAGGCGGTGGGGGCGCCAGAGGAGAAGTTGAGGGACGTCTGCGGCTAAACAAAGTCGGTGTCTACGGCGAGAGGGGCTGCTGCGATGACCACTACAATTCAGGCTCTCAAGTCAATTCACAGTCATTAGGGACGGTCAGAGTTGATGCTTCAAGCGTGCTTCAGGAGTACTTATCTAGGTACTTCAGAAGTGCTTCTGGAATTAATTTTGGACCATAAGCGTGGGATAAGCACCGGTTGTCGTGACCGTCCCTTTTTGAATTGTGCTTCAGATGTGCTTCAGATGTGCTTACGACTGATCTCGCTAAATTAGGTCAGTGGCTGTTCTGTTGATCCTCACCATGCCTCCAGCAGCTCAACACGCAGCTCGGGAAAAGTCTTGTTCTCCCTCAGGAGCTTCCGGGCCAGACTCGGCTTGGATTCGGGCTTCACTGTAGGCTCTTTTTTGTTTTTGTTTTTTTGGGTTGCCCACGTTTAGGCTTTGCAGCTACTTCTTTGCTCTCCGCAGCGGCGATAGCAGCTGCAACATTGGCCTTCGTGGTAGTGGTGGCAACTCTGGCTGTCCGGGTCATGATCAACATGGAGGGCGGGAAGACAACGGAAAAGTTGGTCAGATATATTAGGCAGCTAAGTAGTCACAAATAAATTGTACGGTCGCAAATCCCTTAAATCTGAAGCACATCTTAAGCACGGGAAAAGCGCCTCCAGAGGCGCTTCAGCACTTCAGATGTTCTTCACGATTTAAGTGCTTTTCCCACGCTTAAATAAATCTTGAATCACTTTCGAAGCACATGTGTAAGTACATCTGAAGCATCAACTCTGACCGACCCTATTGATTCGAATAGCGCAAGGACGCACAGCACCACCAGAGGAAGGAACATCGGTTTCATGGGCGGGTTAGCCGTCCTAGCTGGAGAGAGGCATGGAGGAGGACATGGATTCAAATTTGAATTCGATGGTCGGCGTCGGGGTGATGGTCATGACCAAGTCATGACGATCAGGATGCGGCTATTTGCGTGCCGGACCGGTCCGCCAATGGCCCGGAGCCGCTCTTTGTTAGACCGGTGACCGATCTGTCTTAGTCTATGTCACGCCTTTATCACGTGTTCAACCCAAAATATTCATAGCGTCATAATACAGACCCGAGACTCAATAATAAAAATACATATTAGGGACAGACAGTCTCTCCAAGCTGATGAGCCACCAAGTTATGCCCTCTTTCCCCTGAAATGGCATACATGCTCTTCTTCAGCAACAAAATTGACAAAGTAGGCTTAGTTTGTCTGAATATCACAGTATTGAACATTCTGGAGCGGCAACAACTTAATGGAGTGGTAGATGTATCTTATAAAACAATTCCATGAATTTCTCTCTTCAGTTCGACCGGTCTGTCTATCACACTTTGTCATAAACAGATTGGTCACTGGTCTAGCTCTTTGTCTTTAACCTTCTCCACCTCGCGGGTCGCCATCGCCGCGTTGGAATCTCGGGATTTCTGTTATTCCTTTTGGCAGACTGGACCAAATTCAATGCCTCTGGCTTTAAACAGCGGTCCGACCTTCGTGTTTGTTCCGATGACTTCTCGGACTTGGTCTTGACCAATATTATACTTCCTTCTTGCTCGCCCACAGGGACATTGGCTCGCGAGGCCTCCCGCCCTCTCGCAACCAGAACTTGTGCTGTATGATGTATCTTGCAAAGCTCTGTGGTTTCTTGTCTTGCCTCGAGCCTTCTTCGGCCATAATCAACGGCCGGGAACGAGTGGTCTGGACGCAAAAAAAATATCAGTCGTGCGTTTTCGGAACGGGCCCTTCGCTCATTGGTTGTTTTCTTTGCTTTCAGTTCCTTGTCAAATTTATCCTGCTCGCCGAAGGTTCGGTGTACTGTACCATTTCAATCAATTCGGCATGGGTTGTGACCCGTGACCGAGACCAAAATTCGTCGCAGCACAGGGGGTGCGTGATGCGTGACCACCGAATTGATCGAAATAGTACAGTATTCTCTTACTTTAGACTGCTCATTCTTTCCTGGGGCCTCGAGTGTCTCCGTTCCGTCGCTGTCCAGCGAACGTATTGACACGGGATTTCAGTGACGAGAATTCTCCACAATCAAACGACCGTCGTGCAATACAGCGGCTAGTAGTTTTCAGATGTCTTCTTTGCAAATTGGTTTCCCGGATATCTGACGAGATTCAGCGGCTCCAGACGCCTTGTCTGTTCCTCGCCGCCTTTAACCCTCTCTCATTTGTTATGGCGCTTCTAAGGAGGTTCTGCAGCAGCTGTGGCATGTCGAGGTCCAGCTGTGGACCAACAAACTTAAACACCTAACCTGACACAGGAAGTATATAGTCTACAGCCGTTGAAATCGTAGGGAGACGAGGATTTGAGGAGGATTATAACATTGAATTGGGTAATTTGCGTCAGTACGATGGATGAGATGTAGCAAAAATGGCCAGTTTGAATACGATACGGAACGCGCGCCGAGTAAGTGTATCGATGGAGGTAATTATTAATACCATCCCGAATGTTCTGAAAGGACAGGGGTGTTTTTTTCTGGATTTTATGGCTTACGCAGTTAGATTCATCTGCCAAATTTGCAAAAGGACGCAAAAAGAGCAGAAATGAACAGGTGTGAACAACCCTTCAAATCGGTAGTCGCGAGTCACGAAAATCCGGCCACTGCCGAAATGTCGAATAGGTACGTGTGGCACTCCCTGTCGATTTGAATCGAAAAAAATACAGTATTGTATTCCATCACACCGGTATAAAATTTTGGTTTATAATGCAAAAAGGAAGAGATTCCCCCTGAGTACCATGGAATAACAATTGTCTTCGAGGAGCGCTATCGGTCGGGCGAGACTCGACCTCGAGAGTCCACTAATGGTGTAATTACTGAACTGGTAAGCTCGTCTCATCAGTGGATTGACAGGTGCCTAAATCGGAAAGACATTTCCCTGCCCTCTTTATAAAATCACATGGTCTGTCTGTCTGTCTGAAGCTTTTTAAGCTCTGCTAACCCTGCTCTCGGATTGACTTGCCGAATTACTACAAAAAGTGTCCCCCGCTCATTTATTGGGATATTCAACTTCCCCAGGTTGGCTGCCTTCCATCTGAACTCTGGAGGGATGCTGTCTCCATTGGATATTTCTCTTCCACATCCCTGGCCTGACAAACAGCAATGCCGGCTCAAATTCGGCACATTATGTGCCACACAAACATCCCATCACGTCTCTGTCAAAAGAACTCCAGTCATGAGTTCAACCACCTGGACCGCAGTGGTGGCCTTGTCCTACTCTTTATAAAATTACGGATGTCTGTCTGAAGCCTTTGATGCCCC